ACGTTCCGTTTCACTCAATGCGCGCATGAACAGCGCTTAGAATTCCCTAGATCCCCACCACCTGCAGCGCATAATACACGCATCAGCTACCTCAAGTTTGAGTTGCAGCAGCTTATGCGTTCCATGCGATTGCGTAATTGCATATGGCGATTGATAGCGATATTGTAAAAAGTGTCAAAATAGAAAGAGTCATAATGGAAGAGTCATTGATGATTTACTACTATTACTGTCACTCATTTCATCAATTAAAAACATTGTCACATTGATAGCGCAATTTATTGTAGAATCCATTTTGATTTTCCGCTTCTAATGCGTTCAATATCGTTCCGTTTCAAAGCATGTATCATGCGCATAATGAAACGAAACGCAGCCAATGCGCTAAGCATTAGCGATGCGAACGATGCGTGCTATGCGCAAAACGGAACGCAACCAAGATGTAGGTATTCTCACGTCTGCGCCATTTTCGCTCTTTTCCCCCACTCCTTGCCCTCTCGCCTAATCACCATAAACTTCTTAGCTCAGCGAGGGCGAGCTAAGAAGCTAAAAGGGCGAGACGGCACTATAAACGTGAGTATTAATTTAAATTAATACCCACGTTATAGTGCCTTACTAAAACCACCGATCTATTCCTAAATCGCTTGCCACGCGGTCGCCAGTATAATATGAGGCGCGCGCAATTAGACGCGCGCTACTTAAATGTTAATACATAACAAGTACATATATCTCTACACAGACTGACTCGAAAATTGAAGTAATCAGTCGCACTGGGTGTAAATGGATCGGCAACATGCTATGGATTGCAATAATTGCATGTTGCAGGCATATAAGATTGCTAACTTCCATTGATTTTGTACATAAAATTAGTACCTGAAAACCATGTAATATGGTGATCGCGCGTGCGAAACGTTGGAAGGAAAGTAATATGACGGATACCTGTGCCGATATGCCGATATCTAATTGGCCGATACGTACATGTATAAATAGCATATATAGTAGTCATGTATACCGTACATAACATCAACCAATTAAAACGTGACTGTTGTCTTACCAACGTTACGTATGAGCGAGAATTTAGTACATAGATTTTGGGGTCATGATTTAATTCGAGTTAGCGATCTAGTATATAGTATAGATGCTGTGTGTACTGCTCGCGCGGTGTGCCAATGCCAGTGAGTAATAGAGGATTCACACCGCGTCCGATGTCCGACGTACGATGTCCGATATCCAATAATAGAGCTTATTTTCTAGACGATAAAATATCTCTAGCTAGAATTTCTAGAAAACAAGTTCTATTATTGGATATCGGACGTCGTACATCGGACATCGGACGCAGTATGAATCCTCCATAACATTAGAATCTCACAGTATCAGACCACTTGACATACCGACCGTTGTATATACATAGTTATGTAAACGTGTCTATGATGTTAGGGGCTATGACACTGATTTTGAATTAGGCGCGCATCGGCTGGCGCTACTGTGCGAATCCGCTGGCGCCTCTACGCGCACTGTGAGAGATCAACGCTGATGATTGGCTAGCGTGGTCACGAGCCACGAAAAGAGGTGAAGTGTGTGTGTGTGTGTGTGTGTATATGTGTGTGATTGTGGGCGCGTGCGCGCGTATTCGTGTGCGTGTGCGTGTGTGGACGAAAGTGTGGGACCTTGTAAGACTTGGTGGCCGTGAGATATGCGCGTACGAAAGAATCTGTGTGTGTTAGTATTTGAAATACAACTGTGCAGTTAACTTAAAAACTAACGGACATTATTGGAACTCCTAGTTCGCTACACAATCCTATTCCTGCCCTTCGAGATCCTGACACGAATAAGGGATACCGTATTTCGAATTTAACTTACAAGTGGACCTTTACAGTTATTTATTTTTAAAATAACCGCAAAATAACTGTCAAAATAACCGAACAGAGTGTAACGTGTTAAGGTTTTTCTGTTAGTGAAGTGTTTACAAACTCGTGTACACAATGCGATGAAAAAGGAATTGGATATCGAAGTGCCGCTAATGTCATCTCCTTTAAAGAAAAACAAAACAGGCCAGGTAAACAATGGGCTTGTTCGTTTTAGCTGCACTGGGGCAGCTCTGGGTCTGCTCTAAACAAGATAATACAGGACAAACTATTTATCTGTCCTGTATTATCCTGTGTAGAGCAGACCCAGAGCAGCCCCAGTGTAGCTAAAACGAACAAGCCCAATGATCAATAAAAATTAATAATTTCTTAACAGCACGCGTGTCCAAAATCGAGACATAAGTACGAAGTCTTAGGACGGTATTCATAGTCCGTTCTTATATTTAAGGTTGTCTTAAGTATGGTCTTAAGATGTTATGAACCAATCAGAAAAATTCATATTAATATCTTAAGACGACTTAAGATTATCTTAAATAGAACGGACTATGAATACCGCCCTTAAAGACGTTATTAAGACGTCTTAAACATCGTATACGGTACTGAGTAGCGCGCATGCTCTCCTTACTTTATCCGCTATACTTCTCCTATGCGCAGACCGGGGGTACTCTCTCTGACAGAGTACAGAGTATAAGTTGCTATTAGTTGCCTCAGTGTAATGCCCGTATCAAACTACACATTGAAGGACAAAGAACTTTCAGCTCTTCTAGTTTCGATTGATCAAATTTCAATCTTTAATCTTCAATCTTCAATCTTTAATGCATAGTCTGATACGATCTTAAGGCTAGTTTTACAAAATACTTGTGCGAACAATAATCGCGCGTTATTTTATACGACATTAATCGATATTAATCGTTCTTTTGACGCAAATTTTGCAATATTATGACAAAGCAAAAACTCGAGAAAAGTGTGAAATTGTGTGACATTTACGACGCCAGAAGCAGACAACAGACTTGGCGGAGCGAAATAAAAAATTACGCAGTTAATTTTGTTACCCGCCGCGACTATGCGACATCCAAAGTATTTTCATAAACTTCTGCACTTTACGGATATAAAAAAATAAAATGTATCTGCGTTTTAAAGTGTTTAACGTATTAGATTATTTTATATTATAACAAATAAACAAAAATCATAATTAAAAATCTATAATTGTAGGATAAAATATCTAAGTCACTAAGTGCGAAAGCTAATTAATTATAGAAACTAAATTGGCAATTATTTTTTAGATTTAATATTTTATTATTTATCTCAATTACGATTTGAGATGTGATAACGATACATATGAAGCAATTTTATCGCTGTTCATCTGTGTGAAGTTAGTCCCACACTTTTTGAATTTTATATTTTTGTCCAAAATTTTTGTGCTGAATTGCGCTATGTTGTGTCAGTTTGCTCCGTAAATATCAGCTCAATAACTCAAAGCATTTTTCAGAAAAATTAAAAAAATGATATTTTTGCCAGTTCCATTTTTTTGCCATTAAGCTCGATTTTTTCCTGAATTGGCACTAATTTGTGTCGTATTGTTGAAAAAACCTCTTCTTTTGTGTAAAGTTTATAATCGCATTGCAATGCGATTTATCATTATTAAATTTATTTTTGTTAATTTTTTTATCCAGACAAAATGAGAAAGAAAGGTCTTTTCAATAGCACAATAAAGCACAAATTAGTGTCAATTCAGGAAGAAAATTGAATTTAGTCGCGAAAAAGCACGGAACTGACAAAAATATCCTTTTTTAAGTTTTCTGAAAAATGCTTTGAGTTTTATTGAGCTGCAGTTTACAGGACAAATTGGCACAAATGTAGCACAACTCGGTACAATTGACGAAAATATAAAATTCTATAAATGCAAAGCTAACTTTTCTACAAGTTTTCAAAGCGTTTAAAGTATTTTATTTCATATATTCTAACAAACAAAATAAAATATATAAATTATAATTACCGTGGCTCTTATTAATATTCGGACACCATGATACACATTCGGACACTGTAAAAAATAATTACTCTATATACTTATTTAATGTTAAATTAAGGAATTTATTGTTTTTTAATAAGCTAAAGCACTTATTATAGATGTCAAAAACATAAACTTTATTTATTTAATCAATGTAGTTTTCCATGTAATAAGTAGTAAATAAAATAATGTTTAATTCTTGCATCGCAAAAATATTCAGACACAATGTGTTGCAATTTATTCGTTTTAGTAAATCTGGATCGCTCGTTAGCATTGTTTGTAAACACAAGTTTTACGTATGTGTAGACGTAGCAATCTCAGAGATTCAGTAATGTTTTAAAATTTATTGATATCGAATATATTGATGAAAATGGCACATAAAGGCAAAAATAGTTTATTTGACAAATGCCAACTTGTTACTCATTATTGTAAAAGAGATAAATCATATCGAGAAATAAGTAATTTATTAAATTTAAGTAAGATTACAGTAGCAGAAATTATAAAAAAATATAATTATGAGGATTGCATCAAATTAATTCCTCAGAAAGAACGTCTTAAACTTCTTGATTCACGTGACAGACGTAAAATTATTAGAAAAATAAAGAAAA